GTCAACAATTACCATGCGTCATAAATTACGTACCGTGCGGCATAATATTTCCCGTAAGCTCCCCCTTTCCTCCCTTCCATGCATTACCAAGCCTACAGGAGTTGCAGATGCTTCATCAACACTGATTGATAACATTTTTGCTAAACATGTCTTGTTGTATAGTAACCAGGTGTTATTATAGCCGACATATCAGACAACTATCTTGTGTACGTTTCCACCGCATGCATGTTCTACACGGTCACAAATCTGAAAAAGTTAAAGAGAAGATTCATTGATTTAAAAAACTAACTTTAATGTCATTATTGCAAAAGTGACACTTTGATTGGCCAAGGTTATCAAAAGCCAATGCTTAGACAACATTCAAAGTAATGATTATTAACAATTACAAAACGCTTAGATACAGCCCCGACATAGCACCTGGAAAGCTCTCCGGTCGCTGCTGAGATATGACGTCACATGTTGAACATGATGTGCACAAGCAGACGATGTCCCATGACATCTCACACAATTTCACTGCCTGTTTTGTCATCTTTTCTTCAGTTATTTCTCTTACTTCAATACCCTCAGGCGAAATGTTTAATCTATTGCCTCACTCTAAACCCCGTGCATGGTATTATTTGGATGAAAAATGCAAGGAAAAAAGAAGGAGAAGGAATCTGTCGCTTGTAAACAAAATAGGACGCCATTGTATTTTCAGCTGCATACACCGCGGCATGTTCGGCGTTTCAAGAGGGAACAAATGACGTCCATGCTATCATTCCGGAGGTTTTTTAATTTGAAAGTGTGGTTTCTTTGATTGTTCATTACATCCTATCCTGTGTATTTACAAACAAAAGAATTTAGTTTTCAGAATGGGGGTCATATCCCTTTTTGAATGATGTAAAATTCCATCACATTTATATACACTAAACTCATTATAATTTGAGAAATAAAAGCATTGCAATTATGTTCATTCGTCTGCTTGGGCAGGGTTGGTTCATATTGTGACGGCATTAAAACATCGTTATTTTTCCGGCGAATCTCTCGCATATCCCAGATGCTGTAGAGGTTGTTTTATTTGTATTTTTATAAATCACCCGATATGTAGTTGAACTAAAACTTGCACGATGGCCATCTGTTAGCTTACCAGTTTCTAGTAATACGCTATTTGCCATATTGTGATTTTCTATGAATCCGCACTTTAAGCGCACAACAGGATCACGTACTATGTCGGAGCAAAATATTTCTCGCTTCAAAGGCCCAACTTTACTGGTCTGAAGTACTTGATACCAATGACGTGGACTGTGCATGCGATAAGTTCATTGATACTCTGTTCAATACTCATTTTCTAATAAAACCACCGTCCAAACCCAACTATAAAAAAAAAAATCCCCAGGTCTCCTTGGATTACTAGGAATATTTTAAGAAGTATCAACCGGAAAAATATTCTTTTTACAAGTACAAATCCTGCCGCACGGATATATGCAGCTAAATTCAAATACACCTATCGTAATGTCTTGACTTCTGTGCTACGTCAGGCTAAAATGGATTATTTTTCTTCCCAGTTTTCTTTTCACAAAAAAAGATATAAAATCTACTTGAAAAATAATTAATGATGTACTTGGGAAAGTTAATAATTTGATAAAATTATATGCAATGGTGATGTCGTAAAATACTCCCTAGGTATTGCTGAAGCTTTTAATTCACATTTTTCAAATATTGGTCCGAATCTCGCCGTCAACATTTCCACGCCCACTAAACCCTTCTATACGTTTTTAAAGAATCGAAATTCTCAATCTATATTCTTTTTTCCTAGTCATGAAACAGAAGTAATTGATTTCGTGTCGAATATGGATCCAAAAAAGAGCGCAGGATATGACGGTTTCTCCTTTAACTCACATTTTTAATTTACAATTGCTAAATGGTATCGTCCCAAGTAAAATGAAAGTTGCAAAGGTTATCCCAATTTTCAAAAAAGGAAATGAAGATGAGTTAGGAAATTATCGACCAATATCTCTCTTAACAACTATTTCTAAATTACTTGAAGAAAAAAAATGAATATACCCGTACTATTAAGTTCCTTACTGGATGCAATATTTTGACAGATCACCAGTTCGGTTTTCGACAAAAACACTCAACCATACACGCTATTTTATTATTGATTGATAAAGTAGCCAAGGTAATTGATAATAAGTCACATACGTTTGGTATTTTTCTGGACTTCTCCGAGGCCTTTGACAAGAGATTTAAACTTGCCTATTATGGCATTCGAGGAACGGCCTTGGAGTGGTTCAAAAATTACCTTACCAACAGAACCCAATTTGTCTCTATTAATGATTGTAACTCAAGTATTCTCACATCCCAATCCTAGAATTCTTCTCGATTCCCTGAATTTTTAATTGCTTTTTGTAGTTAAATGGATACAAGCAAACAAATTGTCCCTGAATCTGAACAAAACTAATTTTATGATTTTCAGCAATTCACTATCGGAGCTACCAGGACAAGTTTTGGTTAGTGGCTTACCCTTAACCCAGATAAACTCCACTTAATTTTTTTTTTTTTTTCTTTTTTTTTTTTTTACTGTAAACTAACATGGAGTACTCAAATTGATATGTAAACTATTGTCTAGGAACGTGGATGTAATAAATAAGTTGAATCTTTTTTCCATCTCATGTCTTAAAAATATATTATTCAACTCTGCTGCTAAATTACGGGGTGCTAGCACGGGGAAATTGTTCAAAAACAAAAATCAATTCGATTTTCACTGATGATCAACAAAAAAAGCAATGAGAATAATAAATCAGATTTCCAGGCACACTACGTTTTATTTCTTGCAAATCGTTTTCTGAAAGTACCTGATTTTTACAATTATTTCCTCGGAATTTTCATGTATCAGCCTAGTATATTCCCACCCTCCTACGTTTGCTTTGAACAGCGTCATTAACTCCTATCCCACAAGACAAAGAGACAATTTCATCTCCCCCAATCCGGACATTTTTTGCCCAAAAAACAATCATGTACATACCGGTCTCTTTTTGGGGAATGGTTTGGATTCGGGGTTAAGGAAGCACCATCATCGTTAAATTGCTTTAAACGCAAACTTCGAATTTTTCTGTTATATTCTTACATTATGTTTGCCCTCCCCACAGTCCATATTTCTTCAATGCTAATCTTAATTGTTAATTAATGATGCATGTTCCGATTTTGTAATGTATATAACTTTGTGCTATGCTTACTAAATTGCTCGGGTAACTACGCATTTTGACTACGCATTTTTACCGGGTGATTCTGGGTATTGGTGCTATTGCATTATTTTGTATACAAATGTCCTTATTTCATTGTGTTTTAAATTCTCTCCTCTAAATTACATTTTCTCTACTGCTCCTGTTTTCATCTGCATAACTTATTTTTTCCGGCAAACCTATATTATACAAGCATTGGTTTTTAATAGCTTCCTCTACTTAAGCTATTATATGAATTGAGAGTCATTGAGATGTGCTCATTTATACTACAATTGTATTGTATAATTTCTTATTTTATATGTATATGTCTATATTTTATGTAAAATGTGGAACAATAAAAATTTGATTTGATTTTATTTGAATTATACACATGTATGGAATTGGGGATGAATGAATTACGAGAAAGTGAAAGGCGAGTACGGGGAGGACACAGTCTTATTCCAAAACGGTTGAACCTGAAACAATCTTCGAGAAGATGGGTATTGACTGTCTGTCATTATAGCTTGAACTTTGGCAAGTAGGCGTTTTTCATAAAGTGCTAGAACAGGGGCAGGTCTGGTCCTATAACCATCTGTGCAACTCTCCGAGTTCGATCGTCTCTTCCGGGCCCCTTTTGCTCGTTTGACATGTTACCAAAAGTGCAAATCAGGTTGAATGTCAACACGCGTTGGATGATCGATTGGTAGCTAGAAGAGTTTCTTTTGAAGCCGTTTGTAAGACAAAAATTTATACTGATTTATAATGTCATCACATTTGCAGTACGTGAGCGTTACATATGATGATTGTAATTTGTACTATGATTATAATTTGTTTCAAGAGAGAAAAGAATAAAAACTGACCATAAAAAAAAAAGAGCGCCAATTACAAGATGGTTCTATCGACATGAAAGCTCTTTAGTTTCCGAGTTTCCGTTCACTGGTAGTCAATGATAGGTAGGCCTAATGGTTGTCACACTAAAGGGCAAAGTCTTCAACTTGAGAGATGACTCAAGAGGGTCATTAGAGAAAGAAGACGATTCGTTGTTACTGTTTTCGTTTCTTAATCCTTGTCTGATTTCAGTTCCCCCCCCCCCTCCTGACAGGTGCGGAGGGAAGGTGTCGCACCCCCCCCCCCCCCACGACCCCCTTTGGCGACGACCTGGTTGTTATCCAATTGAATGCAATTCCTGATATATCATTGTTTAATTCTCTTTCATTTTTTTCCTTTCTTCTTTAACTCACAAAATTCTTTCTTTCCCCCTTTTTTCAATCTTTTTTTGTTGTTCTTTTTGTGCTTTTTTTTTTTAGGGGGGAGGGGCTACACGCCTGGCAAGAGGGACCCCATATCATGAACACTGCAAAATTGCGTCCCCCCCCCCCTCCACCCCGCCCCTTTGCCGGTAAAAATACATCTTCTTATAATATTATCCCCCTTTCTTTCTTTTCCCTTCTTATTATTTTCCTCTCCCCTTTTCTCTCCCCCTTTTTTCTTCTTCTTTCTTTCTTTCCTTTTCTTTCTTTTCCCCCTCCTTTCTCCCTCCTTTTTCTCTTTTTCTCCCTTTTACTTTTTGCCACTTCCCCCTTTTCCCCTCCACTTTTTTTTAAGAGTTTTTTGTTTGAGAGTAACGAGCAATTTTCAGCTTTCAAATAATGTAGGTCATTTATTTAGTTAAGCGTCTCAAAAACATCAAAATGTAATCTATTACCCCTGTTGCCGTTACCGTCACCCGCGAGACATGCAAAGTTTTCTTTTACCTTTTTGTTTTGGAGACACTGTAGGTGGCTGGCATATTGGTCGCTAGTTTCGAGAAGCGTCGACAAGAAAAGATTTTCGGAATAACCAGGACCTGAGTTATACGTGACAGAGAATAGGACTAATCACTTGAGAATATCAATTAATTGATAAGGTAACGGTAAGTGTAAACAATACATACTTCTAGGCCTAGATTCTAGTGACTATTAACATTATTAAAAACATTGACCTGACAGTGACATGCAAAGAAACGAGTGGGACTGGATATTCTCCAGTTCTCCGGATATTTTTTATGACAGTGCCCCCATCTGGGCTTAGCTTTAGAATAACCCACCAATAGGGTTAATGTACATAAACGTCGAAGACTAAGGGTTATAACGTCATTCACATGATACTTAGTTAGGGACAGAGCTAACTCCGGGCAGGAAGCTCCAACACCGGCGCCGCAGTTAGGCCTAGATTAGACAGCAATAACCATCTGATTTGGGTCATTTCTTTAATAAAACTGACATTTGTTGTCATTCCCCAATACAGATGGCAACCCAGAGATCTCGTACCGCGGGGATAGCTATAGCCAACAATGGCAGCTTTTTGTGTCAAAACATTTTCTCCCCGATTTTCTTTATTTAGATCTAATTTTCTGATTTCTAAATCAGATGTAAATTAGGTCGGTATGTCATTTGTCCTAATTACAGTTATCAAAATTTGATAACTTAATATTAAATAGACAATTTACGGACTTACTTAGAGTCTATATGAATTATCCAATTTGTATCTCAGATCCGCGAAGCAGTACGTTCATGCATTCGAAATATTACCCGGCGGCCGATATATTTCCGGGTCCACCACCAAAACATAGCCAAATGGCCAATCAGAGCACTCGTTTCGTGGGAGTTCGTTGGTCAAGCTGGGCCGACTCGTATGTAGCTACGGTAGCTATTGGACGTTCGAAAAGAAAAAATGAATATTCATCAACTAAAAACCAAGACGGATAATGTTGACGACGAGACTTTCTCGGATTAATCATTAATTTAGGATCTAAATGAGCAAGCTATCGTAAGTCAAATAAGCTATATATATGTTATTTTTAATTAGACTCTAAATTATTGTCATATTGCAGCATGTATGAGGATGTAAAGAGTGAAAATCTCGTTGCATATCTCATTCATCGCGGTCCGGTCGAACCGAACCATTTGTTCCGTACAGTGCCTCACAGAAAGAGGTCCCCAGACTTCAGTCTCTATAATCGGAGGTCTAGTGGAGCCAGACGTAGTCTCAGTGGAACAACCGACGATTAGAGAGACTGAAGCTTTCGGTCTAGGCCTAGATCTACTGTCTGTTAGTGTTAGGACAGACCCAAACTGGCGCTGAACGCTTCGGTCTCTAGACTTAGTCTTGGGGCTTATGGCTCTCTGGAGAAAAAAATTATGATATTGTATTCCAGATCAGAGCTCAGAGAGCCTTAAATGGCTCCCATATGAGCCCACGGAGAGGCATGTGAACAAAACCTAAAATGTGTCCCAAATCACACTTTCCCGCACCCGACCAATATTGGACAGTGACCTCGATAAATTTTATGGCACTTTTACTCCTAATTATCTCCAGAATTTCAAAATCTGAGGTAAAAATAACTAAATAATAGCAAATATCTTACCAGAACAATATGGCTTAGCTCCCTTTTCACGTGTAGCGTGTGATTTTACAATCTCTACACAATGGCATGGTGTTGACCTCTGACTACATGACTGGCACTTCCTTAATTGTGCTGCTTCCGTATGATGCGCTGTATGAGTGTTATTCGTCAAATCAACCTTTGGTCTGTCATATCATGACAAAAGTAGTGCATCATTGTCAACCAGTCTAGAATCTACTAATTTGATGACTGTCATAGTTTGTCAAAATGAAAAAAATGGTGCGTCACATAAGTCACCGTTTGTACCGTCATGTACTAGTTGAATGGTTCGTCAAAATGTTGACATGAGGCTGCGTCATGTAAACCCGATATCCGATTCACATAGGACCAATGACGCACAATTTCCGGAGGTTACAAGGTGCGTCTAACAATTGATAGGTGCATATACATGTAATTTCTTAAGTAACACTAAACCTAATCCTAACCTCAACTCTAACCCCAACCTTAACCCTAACTTTAACCATAGGTATTTGACATTTATGTACGTAAACCGTATTGGTTTTATAAATTATTTTTTCAGGAGTCATACATGTACCGGTATGTATTATGTTTGAAATACAGTATTTGGGTTAACTTCAGAGGCTGTGCAAAACCTATAAATTTTCTTTCACTTTTAATCTGACAGTCTAATCTTACTACTACATTTAGTTTGTCTCAGCTTAGGCTTCTTATCCTAGACCTAGGCCCCACCTAGGCTTAATTAGCGAAAGATAGGACTGCCATGTACAAACCTACATGTAGACAGATATCTATCTGGTATGGGGAATTAAATAAAACTGACATTTGTCAACCTTCCCCATACACAGACAGTAACCCTTGCCTCACTCAAGAGGAGGTCGGGGGGGGGGGGGGGGGGGGGGGGGGTAATTAACTGATTTTTGCCAGAATAAATTTGCCCTTGGTTTTCCTAATCCTTTTTGTTTCTTTCATTTATACCTATATCCAGGTCTCCACCATGGCACCTTTCACCAACCCAGTATTGCAGTCATTCGTCTCTGTGGCAATCCCTTTGGCAGTGATGGTACTGACTGCTCACTCAGGACTATTTGACAGTATAGAAGTAGAGACGGGTTATGACCATTATGCTGAACCAGCAGATTCCAAACTTGGTCCGATGCCTTTCCCTAGTTTCATCAAAATGCCAGCCAATGCCTTGGTAAACATTGGATACCTTCTTGTTGCCCTTTACTGGGGAGTCTACATATTCATTTCCAATAATAAGCTGGCATCCATTCAAAATATGGATGCATATTTGATGTACGTCTTAGTGTGGATGATGTTCCTTTACGGTCCCATCCAGTTTGCAAGGATTGTTACTCAGAACCGTGAGTGGGCCATTCTAGATCAGTGGGTGACACTTCCTATCTTTGCATGGGTGATGGTGACATGTAAGACATTGTTGACTGATTGGCAACCAAGGGTAGCTGTGCTAACGATGATGGCATCCATCATGAGCTACAATCTTGTGTTTACAATGGAGCAGGGGTTTGATGTTGCGCTACTGCCCCATATTGTGTACGCCGTCTCGTCCAGTTGGAATCTCTGTACAAAGTACACACCCCTGGTTACAAAAGAGACTTTGGTGCAGCTGTGTTGATGTGTGCTGGGTTTGTGGCCCTGAAAGTAGCTGATTTTCACCTTGCTCAGTTTGGAGCCTTTCAAGAATTCACTGGACATTTCTGGTCAAAAATCTGTGATGCTCTCCAGGCTCACTTTGCTCTGAAAGTGCTTTTCAAAGTAAGTCTTGTCAGGGGAGCAAGAAATCTAGCAAAAAAGTTGTTTTGATAAATTATGTTATTACCGTATGCAGTGCTGTGCCATATGAAACTGAAAAGACAATCAAAATTTATCAAATGAATGGCAATAACCTCCAATAATAAACAATTATTTGTAATACTTCAAAACTGTTGTATGTGTTGTGCAGTTTTCCATCAAAGATATTATTTAAAGTATGTTCAGAAAAGTCATTAACTTGTATGCATTTTAATAACGTATAACTTAAATGAATCCAAAGTACTTGTTGGCATAACAGAAATATAACCAAATGGCAAGTGAAAGGTTGATCAAAGAACTATGTGATTGATGTGTTTTTTGTGTGAATGTTTGAATTTATAACAGATTGTAAAAAGTATTTTTAAAATAGGGCAGCATTTTTTAAACATACATGTAATAATTAATCACCATTAATTACTCTTTGATGTATAGATTATTTTGTTAAGAACAAATGTAAAGATAACAATAATTACTTTGAACATTCCATGGAGTGCAAACAATGAGATTTAATCCTCATTTTTACAGTTTAGAATTTTTAGAATATTAGTACGTACATTTCAGCAGTGGAAGTAAAACTTCCACGTATTGCTTGAGGTTTGCAGAAATAATTTGTGCATACATTAAGTAGTATCGTTGCATGGGAAGTATGTATTGTTTGTACTTTATAAACCACATTGATGATAATAGACATACACTGTATGAATACATGACTGATTACTGGTAGTATTCAATCTTCCTGGCAAAACAAAGTTTCATTTGGAATTAAAGATAAAGAGTAAAAGATCGTAGTGGTAAAATTGTGGTTCAAAGGTTTTGGGTGCAAAATATCCATTCAATATTGTTTAAATATTGCCTCCAAAGGTTTAGATTGCAATACTTCAACCTAAATTCATTGTCTTATTACACAGGAGCCACAATACTTTCCTGTAATGCCTCCGTCTGAATGACAGAGCTTTATCCATTCATATGATATTGGTTGGTTGGCTTTTGTGCACCAGTTATTGGAAAATGAAACCCAACAAGCATTACCTGATAATCTTATTCACAACTGTCAGTCATAGGCTCAAAGCAATACAATGTACTTGTAGCTGCTACCGCTGTCTAACCAGTAAGGAGTAGGCAAGGTGTGCATCTAATTATTCATATCGATTCTAATATTCTATTGACATCAATGTTGTTTGTCCTTATACCCAGCCTTGAATGCCATCAGTTTTAGGAGCAGGCTGGCTGTAAGGACAAACAACATTGATATCAATAGATCAAATAGGTCTCCCCCCCCCCCTAAGACATGATCCCATTCTGTAGTGATTAATGAAATACATGTATGAGCACAGTAATACAGTAGTTCAGTGTTACTGACACACATTTTAAGGCGTTAAAACACTTTATTAATTAAACCTTTAAAAAGCCTTTGAAATTTCTGAAAGTAGAGAAACTTCTGATCCATTGCATCATGCATGTTTCTATATTTTCAGTTATTCCAGGGCTCCTTTTTTTATATTTAAAGACCCTGTCGGAAGTGAAAAATTAAATAGATGAATTATCTATCAAAGGGAAGCTTACAAGCCATAGATTACAATTATACCAATTACATTTACATATGCCATTTTAGTGCCTATAACCGCTCTCTGAAAACTCGAAATCTAAAGCTTTGAAAATCTGGAGTTTTTGACCTAAAAGCTAGCTATCAAATTGATGACATCATCTTATGTGGAGTACGCATATTCACAATGACTTTGCATTAATTAAGCACGGCTCATCGCCTCAGCTATATATAGGTGAGGCTATCGGGTGCACATATTACATGTATGTTGTCACTGGAACTGCGGCATATTTGACCCCTGTTGACCTGTAATTTGGAGAGGTGCAGAAAGTAAGGTTTCAATTCGCTTTTGTGCAATACTGCAAGGGAAAATATTTTGAATTCCTTTATAATTGCATTAGATGTTCATTCAGCTTTACATTGATAAAAAGTTGTATTTTCATTGGATAGGATCTTCAAAGATTTTAGACATCATTTAAGCATTCCAATGATAGAGTACATTTACTCTTCTGTTTCTCTCTTTTTTGTGATGGTTTAAAAGAAAACGGTGCTTTCAACATTTAAAACATGGTTTCCACATTTCACATCATACTAGTATTAAATGTATACAGGTATGTATGTACATCACTTGTATACTATTTGCAGTCTCACATTAATGGAATGCAATTTGGCATTATATTTTAACTAATAATTTGAGTCTTATCATTAATCCCAAAGGAGATAAATGTTTTTGATTTTAGGGTAAATTATACATGTATAAACCTGACTGCTTTCTCTTCTAGTTTTGATAAAGAATGTATTACTTTTAGATATGTACAACTACAAGTGATATTGTATGGTTTTAAAAATACATATTTTGTACTTTCATACTTTGCTGTGAAATTTTATGAATTTATATATGTAAATACACCGGGCAAAACTGTTCATTGACTAGTTATTTCATTGTCGTTGTTTAATTATAATTTTATCTCTGAGATAATGTTTGATGCTGGTTGAAAGCTGGTGATTAATTATGGAGAAGTGAAAGAGCCATCACCCACATCGAATATAACTATACAGTCCAACCTGTTGTATCGACCACCTGTATAGGAAGACAACCTGTATATAAAGACCACTTTTTTTTCTTTTTTTCACTTGAATATATGGCTTCTCATTGAAGCCTGTACTACAGGAACCTGTTCATATGGACCACTTTTCTTGTTTCCCTTGAGTGGGCTTTATATACATGTTTGACTGTACTTGGCAAATGTTCCAAATGCAGTGTCGGTGAACTCTTCCATTTTTGTAAAGAAAATTTTAAAAATGGTTGGATTGTTAACTATTATAACGACTGAAATATTAGGGGGGGGGGGGGGGTCATCAAAATTTGTGACTCTGAATTTTTATGGAGGCATTATATGAAGGGACTGGGGAAAGGGGGCATATTTCCCCCAAACAAATTTCCGAACAAGAAAATGAAAATGAATTGCGACTTTTCAGATGTATGTCTTCTTAAGATAAATAATGAAATCTGAAATATCCTCAAACATTCAAATCAATAGGTACACTGTATGGGTATGTAGGATGTGTGTGTGTGTGTGTGTGTTCATATGTCTGTTTTATTTTCCTTCATTATAAAACTGGTACATACTTCAACATTCAACAAAACTGTATATAAATGTATACCGGTATATATATATATATTATTTATCTTAGATTTTTCAGGAAAAAAATTAAAATGAGTTTATTGAGAAATTAAATATAGGATCACAATATTTCGAAATAAATTCAATTGCCTCATACAGTATGTATGAACAAGTTAGAGCAAGCGCAGGCCAGATTTGAATACAGTATATTTCATCAAAATTAAATACCGGTTACTAGAACACCGGGCTAAAACATGTTTCATCTGAACAAAAACAATTGACAATAATGTTTGTATCAGTCATATACCTGAAACTCAGGGTAGACTTTATACAACAACAACAAAATATATATAGTAGGTCTAATAATTGAATTATATCCTAGATAATACATAATTGCATGGTCAAACATAATAAACATGGTCAAATCAAATATGTTGTCCTTGGCCTTGCCTTTGCGTTTTCTGAATGGAAAACGATATCGATAACCATCACCATTCATGATCGGAGCTCACCTGCAGACGACAAAATAATACAATTTTGGAGCACCACGAAGCATAAGACTATACAGTAAATATAAAATGATTAGAGAATATTCTTTTTTATGAATATAATTTGCAAGAAACTAATTAATTAATTTTACATATGATTTGGTTCATACAGTATGATTTAACCTCCACTTAATCAAATTAATGAAACGTAAATGTTATAACAGTCCCACATGTTCATGTTTGGGTTTGCTGGAGGAATGGAGCAACAAATTCATGAATCATGGCAATAACTTAGTATTAGTAGGCCCTAGGCCTATACTATTAGTACAGTAAGTTACTTAATTCAGTTACTAGGTGACAATTCTCTGAAATGGAGGTCGTACATTCTCCTTTTATTTAGTTTTTAAAGAGGGAGAAAACCAGAGAATGAATAAGAGAAAGGTGAAGTTGTGGCAGCCGGCAGAGGCAGAGTCGGAGAGAGAGAGAGGGCCATCTTGCATTTAATATAATTTCTTATTAATGAGTAAGCTAACTACACTGTATTCTTGGACTGTCACCAGAAATAGGTCTAGTGGTCGAAATGTATATCGACCACTTGGAAGTTAGACTCGGAGCTCATTATTAGGGTCTAGATCTACTATTAGGTCAAGGAAGTTTCTGTTCTGCCTGGTCTAACTTCGGTGCGGAGCTCCCTGGAGTTAGTTCTGATCCTGAAGTCAAGGGATACATACATGTAGACTCTAGGCCTAGATGACCAATAAGAATTTTATCGTTCAAGAGAGAGTGAGAGTGTTTGTTGCATCTAAAACATTTTGAAATTGAGTCCCATTTCTCTGTTGTTTGTCCCTCCGCTTTTCGGAGATCAGCGAGTTTATCGCATTCAAAGTAGGGTCTAGTAGGCTGCTGTAAATATGTTATAAAATCCTTTGTTGGAGGGTATAGAGTGCAGGCGATGGGCATGAATTTTGTAAAGATAGTGAAGTGTCATCTTTAAAATAGAATCATTGACAGTTTAGGGAAGGGATGGATCATATGGCAAGAGAATGGCGCAAGTCAGATGGGAAGGGTCCTGGGTGTTGAGCAGTGGTGTATTTGGTGCAGAGTTGAGGACATTATGCAGGAGTCTACTGGCTCTGTCGATAAGGTCTTCCAGTAGGTTGACAGTAGTCGAGCAGGCAGCCACGTACAGCATGAACTACGGTATCCTCCTCGAGATTGCAGAGAGGACACTTTGTGTTGGTTGCTTTCTTAATCTTGGTGAGGTATGTTGGTGTGAGGAGCTGTGCTCTTATTGGTCAGTGCCTGTCTGATTATAGTTGATGGTGGGTCTTTGGGGTAGAGGTTCCTTGGGTTGATGGATTTTCCATGCCAGAATGCGAGCACATTGCAGTTGTGGGGAGGGACTATTACTTAGTACCCTTTTGATTGCTAGATCTATTGGCCGTATTGCATATATATCTAGGTCTAGATCTAGTTTAGACCCTATGAAATAAATGGGGGAAACAAATACATACTCTAAATGTAAATAGATCTAGAACTTACTCATGAATTCGACTATGAAAAATGAGAGAACCAATATGGGCGAATGTTTGAGCAAATCCGATTAAAAATAGGAAAGTTATGAATTTTTGTAGTTGTATATCAGTGCATGCAGTGAAACACAAATTTGCAACACTGTGACTAGGCTAATAAAAGTGGTGCAAGGTGAAGAGTGGAGTGCCCCAGGGCAGCGTACTCTGCAAAACACTGTTTGTTCTCTACATCAACGATCTCCCTGAGTTCAGTGTTTGACTCCACTGTAAGAATCTATGCAGATTTGGGCCCCCCCCCTAAGAAATCTTGGATCTGCGCCTGTTCTCCTGCGTCTCTACTCCCAATCTAAGGCAAACATCTCAGTCCTCACAGTGGCAACTCCAGTTTAACGCAAGAAAATGCAGTGTTTGCATTTTGGATCTCGATCTGGAGATTGTCAGGAGCACCACACAATTGGGAGTACAGCCCTGAGTGCAGTGTGAAGAGGAGAACGATCTAAAGATTCTTATTGACGACAAACTGAAGTTCCGGCCAAGCTGTTTAAGAGACTAGTCCAACCGCCTCCTTGAGTATGGAAAGGTAATCTGATCACCAAGGAATATTTCAGATGCAAAGGACATGGAGAGAGTGCAGAAGAGAGCAACATAAAGGAGATCTGAGATCTCCACAATGAAACACCTACCTTACACAGAGAGCAAGCTACAAATTTGATTCATGAAGGAAATTAATGTTACTTCTTTCTCTCGCTAGTCCAAGTCAGAGACTTATCGAAAACCAGTACTACATCATTTTCTTTTAATATATATTTTCTTCTTCAGTACTATGCTTAGACATAGGAACCAGGCTCCATTGCAAGGTGAAGATGAGGCACCAAAGACCACTCCTAGTCCTATTATAGCAAGATATGTCAGCAAGGAGTATGCACCGTTGCCTCTTTTGGAGGTATTCATCTATGCTGCATTCATCATCACAGTGTTTTCCAGGGCTTTCTTTGCAGTTTATGAAGCATCTAAAGGTGAATGATAATTTCTCATGTTTTCTTCACATTGTTCAGTGTACTCTTGCAATATGCAAAAATTACATATTTCTAGAATATTGTGTAAATTTAAAATAACACAAATTAAAATGGCACAGGGCTTCTTCTTCTTATGTGTGCAAGAATAGCTTGTGAACGCATTGTCAATACTGACGGAAGGATTACTATCAAACTCGGGACATGTATGCATCTTGTAGAGCCAATGAACTGATTAGATTTTTAGGGTCATGAGGTCAAAGTTCAATGGGTCATCCATGTATATGAGAAATAGTTTGTAATCACGAGACTCTGAGAACCTGTTAATGGATTACAATCAAACTTGAATTTGCAAAATTGCTTCTCTTTTGGTTTGTTAAATCGCATCATTTTCGACTGCATGCAGTCAAAAATCCATCTAGTTTAATCTTGAGTTCAATTTATTCCTTTCTTATCCATTTTTTGTACAGAATACAAAGATGTTCTCTATTCTTTCAACTTTGAAGAAGGCTGGTACATATTTTGGCACAAAGATAAGGTATAGTCTTGTACTTGATATTTTGCTTGCAATGCAGAAAACTATAATTTGTACAATATTAACAATGGTAGGCAGTGTCTATGAAATTTTTGTTGACATAACTGTTGCCTTTAATTGCTTAATAGGACCTGTATCCTTTTTGACTTGCTGTTTCTTTTGAAATACTAGTTCACATATAAGTGTATGTAATTCATTATCTTTATCCAAATATTATGGATTAGCAAAATTTGTTCAACTTTCATGATCTTGAAAAGATTAACTTTTTTTAAGGTAGCACCTTGTGAAATTATGATTCCTGCTAAGCCTTGATTGTTTCAAATATTAATACCTATTTACAGTAGGAGATGGAGAAACTGAATACTTACATCAGTTTGACATCATATATTTGTTTTTGATTTGTATCATTGTGAAGGATATTGGGGACTTTGAGTGGACTCATTGGAGGAACATCTTCTTCTCTCCTGGTGTATTGGTTGTGATGGTTCTCCATGCTGCTTTAGGAAGGATTGTCGGCTATGTTTATCCAAAGGTAAAATAAGATACATTCAGTTAAATGTATTTAGATTTTGAGGTAATGCCTGTTGACATACATCTACATGTATGCAGGCCTTAAATTTCAATATTTTTAGGGCAAGGCCACTTTCCTGTAGGGCACATTCCTATATTACAGCACAAATAGGAAGATTTGGAAAGGGCACAAAAAATATCCCAAGGCCAATGAGGAGGGCATTAAGGCCAATCAAAGGGGCATCCAAGGCCATGACCTTGGTGGCCTTGGATTAATTGAGTCCCTGTGTTTGATCTTATTTGATTGTGTTAATAGATTTCTGTTACTTCTGTCTATAGTGGAGAAATACATTTTCCTTTTTTGAGAATCAGCAATTTCAGATTTATGTATATGATTATATTAATCATTTATTGTTTCTGTGTCATGCAGTATAGGACATCGTTCCTGCTCTGCTTTGCTGTGGTCAGCATCTATTTGTTTGTGGGTCTTCGACTCCTTCTGTACTTCCTGTGTCACTCTCTGCTCATGTATACTGTAACATGCACTGCCAGCATGTCGACTGTTTGGTGCATTGTGTTGATGCAGATAGCTTCTATCAACCTTGACTTCTTTCTTCGATTCCAGGTATTTACAAGGAATAAAGAATCAAATGTAGGATTTTATGAATTGTGTGTATCCGTAAATATATGCTAAGAAGTAATGTGATTTCACCACCTTTTGTATGTGTTTTAATTCTTCATAAATGAGACTTATAGATGAGAGGGTTACTTTAATTAAACAGTATTAAATATTCTGTTCCATTAGTATTTAACAAGTGTAAAAGTTCCTAAATATGTAAAAGAAGATAATTTTTTTTTAAAGTAAACAAGAATAGAAATGTTGTTTACAATAGCTATTTCAACTGATCAAGTCCTCAAGTAAATTGAATTAAAATTTTGAACAGAAAGTTACCAGATGAAATTCTTCCTAAGTTTTATACATTCAATTAACTTCTTGTGCAATAATTATATAATGTGATACAACCAAATAATTTTTCACTCATGAATCCGGACATTAACAAAGCTTTGTGCAACTTCAACATCCCATGACCTTAAAGGGACCCTGTAACTTTCAGATCCTTAAACAAAATCCTTGATTTAGCTCATGCTGCAATCATAATTATAAACCTTTAGGTCATTCAGGAATCCCCTGACTTTTACAAGCCGATTGCCTATCTGGTTATCAAGAGATTTATGATTGAAAATCGAAATTTTATTTTGCGTTTTCCTAACGGTTTTCATAACACTACAGTCTATGGGGGAAAATGATTATGGTAAAACCGTTCACTCAAAGATTTTTACTTTTTTGAGGCACTTCATGATCAGTTTGAAGCGCAATTTGATTTAGGGCTTCAATATTACATCATATCACAGACACCTCAGATTTAACATTGTTAAACGATGCCTTTAAAGGAGCAGCATTATCAAGTTACCCTTTTTATGCCTCCGCCACCGAAGGTGGTGCCGGAGGCATCATGTTTTCGGGTTGTCCGTCCGTACGTCCGTCCGTCCGTACGTCCGTCCGTCCGTCCGTCCGTACGTCCGTCCGTACGTCCGTCCCGTTTGACCGTTATCACAATATCTCAAGAACCATTTAAGATTTAAACTTAAGACTCGGGAATAGTATTTATCACCATAGGAAGACGATCTGATTAGATTTTGGAGTACGTAGGTCAAAGGTCACAGGTCACAGAGGTCAACTTATGAAATTCCTTGTATTGAGTTTGTTAGCGCGATATCTCAAGAACCATTTGAGATTTAAACTTCAAACTTAAGGATAGTATGTATCACCATAGGAAGACGATCTGATTAGATTTTGGAGCACGTATGTCAAAGGTCAAGGGTCACAGAGGTCAACTTATGAAATTCCATACATTGAGATTGTTATCATGATATCTCAAGAACCACTGGAGATTTAAACTTCAAAATTAGTGATAGTGTGTATCACTATAGGAAAACAATCTGATTAGATTTTGGAGCACGTATGTCAAAGGTCAAGGGTCACAGAGGTCAACTTATGAAATTCCATACATTGAGATTGTTATCATGATATCTCAAGAACCACTGGAGATTTAAACTTCAAACTTAGTGATAGTGTGTATCACTATAGGAAAACAATCTGATTAGATTTTGGAGCACGTAGGTCAAAGGTCAAGGGTCACAGAGGTCAACTTATGAAATTCCATACATTGAGATTGTTATCATGATATCTCAAGAACCACTGGAGATGTAAAAACTTCAAACTTAATGATAGTGTGTATCACCATAGGAAGACAATCTGATTAGATTTTGGAGCACGTAGGTCAAAGGTCAAAGGCCACAGCGCACATTATGAATGCAAAAACAGCTTGTGATCGCGTTATCTCAAGAACCGATTGATGGATTCATGCCAAAATTAGGTCATGTTTGTTACTTGCAGAGCCAATGAACTGAGTAGATTCTTGGTTCATAAGGTCAAAGGTCAAAGGTCATGGGCCCATTATGTATGCAAAAATAGCTTGTGAACGCATTCTCATTAGAACTGACAGATGGATTACTATTTAACTCAGAACATCTTGCAGAGCCAATGAACTGAGTAGATTTTATGGTCATGAGGTCAAAGATCAAAGGGTCATATATGTATATGAGAAATTGCTTGTAATCACAATATTCTGAGAACCTGTCAATGGATTACCATTGAACGTGAATTCAATTTTTTTTTCTGTTTTGGTTTGTAAAATTGCTCTACATGTATAACGGAGGCATCATTTTCGACTGCGCGCAGTCAAATTCCATCTAGTTTTTAATGAAAGATATTTACGCCTGCAGAGAAATGATCACTAAAACAATTTCCTTCAATGTCTTTCTAGCGTTACATATTTACAGATGAGGATGATCTTAACATGATGGTCTTCACACTTGCCATGTGTACTCTAAGACACATCAGTTTTGCCTATGAGTTTTGCCACTTCCATTCCACACCAGTAGCCAGGAGACCTAATGAGAAACAGTACTGGGGCATCCTAGATTTTCTACTCTACATCTATTACCTGCCACTCTTCTTTGGGGGACCTGTTCTCACCTATGATAAATTTTCCAGACAGGTAACCATAAAAGTGAAAGATATGACATAATATTTGTTCAAGCATAAAAGCAGACAATGTGTAGGCTTGCTCATGGAAAACCACAGCTTTTAATTACCACAGCGGTTTTTAAACATACTTTAGCCTAGAGTGATCAGCATTCTGGTATCATTTAACACACAGATAAGTGAGTACCGGTATATGTTGGACCTGCATTGCATTCAGCTAACTTTGTTATCCATACTTGCCATTCATTAAGTACACAAAAAATTGCAGGCATTGCAGCTAATTGTAGGGGCATTACATCAATATAAAGTTTGGTCTGGAGGCCTTACTATGTGCTTGCAAAAAAAATAACCGTGTAAACAAAATGTACACTAATCTGAAACCAGTCAAAAAATAAGAACAAATTAACCTGCTGAAAATACACTTAAAGATATAAACTTGAGTTCTGGTAAAAAAAAAAAAGAAAATGAATTCTCACAGAATCAAACGAAACTTAAACTGAATGTTCAAGATTACAAATAAATGTCATGTGCCAAACAATTTTGGAAGAAAATGTATATTTAGCTGAGCAAAGGGCATAGAAAGATAAGAAAATCAGGTAGTACTAGCCCCGACACCATTTGTGTAGTCCCGTATACATCTTTCTGTGTACAGTGCTTGTTACTTTACCAAGACTGGGCCAAATTTATATTTGGATGATTCCAGAACCTTGCATTGCACACCAATACTTACATGCTACATGATCAACTTTTTCTGATCCATTCCACACCTTTTCTTTCACAATACAATCGCATTACCAGAACTCACCATTATCTTTAACAAATTAAATTGTGATTTGGAGTCTGTGTTTACAAAACACATACTTATTCTCTAAACGGAACTTGTAAAATAATTGAAGAAAAATTGGTTTCACCTCACCATGCAGATAAATTTGAGTATCCATATGTTGAATTCAGTTGAGTGGAAGCACATCTTGAAGGAGCTTTTCAGGTATATCTTCTGGGCCATGTTCATCGAGACAGTGCTGCATTTCCTCTACTTCCCAGCATTTCACCAAAGACCATTCCTACTCAATAGCATGTCATTGTGGGCTGTGGGTAAGTGATTGCTTTCAAGTCTTAGAAGGAAACTCTGAACAAAACATGTCTAAATGAAAGTTAGCAGTGGTAATTGATGCTTGTTCAAGAAAGTGAGATGAATATGAAAAACAGTTTGATGTTGTTTTTTCTTATTTGTAATTAATTTATTAGAACAACATGTAATCTGGAAACAATCCAAACCTCTGATTCACACAGCCAAAATACAATTAAAAACAGATTTCTAAAATAAGTACATTGATCAATAACAAACTTATTCTTTTAACCTTTGTACAGTGTTTCAAACTTATTCTGTTAGGATTTGAACAGGGGTATATGTTCATAGATAGGAATCAGGTTATGATGTATCCATTTCTAATTGAGAAGAGAAAATGAACACTTTTGCAATTTCACAAACAAATGTACTTTTTTATTGGTGTGATACCTGTGTATGACAGTTTCCTTCATTAAACTTTGAATTTGAATTTATGCATTTTTTTTTGGTGGGGGGGGGGGGGGTAGGGGTACATTAATCATAGCTATTTAAAATTGACAATTGTTTAAATATGGCACCAGTTTCGAGTTTTCAATATCAGTGAGGGGACATGGAGTTCCTGTTACAGCACACTCATTCAGAACATGCTCAGCAGTCTGAATTTCACCACCTGGACAAAGGCCAGAGTCTTTGAGACCGCAGAGCTTCATGCTTGCTGCCAAATGGCCTAGCTGTATCTGATTGTTGACAGTTCAGTTGATGTATAAACTGTTCCTATCTGAAATTTTTCCTAAAGGGGGTTTGGCTCTTTGCCAGCTACTGTTCTTTCAAATGAAGTACACGGTGATGTATGGACTACCAAGGGTCCATGCCATGTTCGATCACATCAATGCTCCTCTTCCACCTGTCTGTATCCTAGGCATGTACTTATTCCAAGACTTCTGGAGGTATGTCTTCTGATTGCTAGTTTTTTCTTGTGTGGTTCCTCTGTATTTATTCTGTACTCAACCTCCCCCGAACTGACTGGATGTACCCTCTGCACATACACAATTTAGCAGAGATATATCTTTTGCTCATGCTTCTACAAAGCTTTTAAACACAGTTAGATTCCTTTACATGATGTTCCAAGTCACTATGTAGCTGTGATGTGGCAATTTGTTCAGATGTGTACCCTCAATTTCATCAGAAATCTTGAATGGAACCTCAATATCTTGTACATTTATATTTCGATGCAAAAAGAAGAATATGGGACTAAATACATGTTTCAGTCTGGTTTCCATTTTGCTACCAAAAATGTACTTGGGCTTTAACAGAAAATGACTTGCTTTAATCTATTTAATATTTCCATTTATATTCAGATACTTTGATAGGGGTCTACATTCATTACTTGTGAGGTAAGTTTGTGTGTTTGATTGATAATAATATATGAGATTTGTAAGGCAACAAATCCACATAAAATTAGATGCTTAAGGCGATGAAAAAAAGAAAAAAAGAAGAAGCCTCTGCAATATGAACAAATGAACAGGAATGAGATGGAACAAAGAAACATTAAAGAAAACAATTAATTAAATGCTGAATCAACCAGATATGTTTTAAATATTAATTTTGAACACTTCAACTGATCTGTATTACCTACCGGTATGCGTATTGAACGGACATGACACTTTTGTCCCCATTTTATGAAACCCCTATGGCTTTGCCTTATGTTCCATAGGCTATCGAAGCTCATATCAGTCACCTATGTTTGCTTCATCACAATTTACCACCAAAAATGTGAATCTGAAGTGCTAAAGGTGTGAAATGATAATGAGACCCCAAATTCTTGCTACATTTCACCCTAAAGGTTTTTTTTTAAATAAAATCATGCACATCCAGAAAAGTATCTCAATCTTACTGATATACCACTCAAATCAAAGAGGAGAGCTTGTTGAGCTCTGTTGTTTGATACTAAATGTGTCAAGGTAGCCCAAACATTACTGGCAATCATGCCCACTGACTGACTTGTGAACATTTTCTGTGAATTGCCCAATGGAAAATTTGTTGTGATGGGTGGGGCTAGGAATAGACTACTCATGCTATGAGATATGTCTCATTCCAACTGATAGTATTGTTTGTAAACTGTTAACTTACTTCATATTTCAAACTTTATTCTAGATGTATTTACATCCCGCTTGGAGGCTCTAAAAGGGGTTTTGTATGGCAGATAATGGCCTCCATATGTTGCTTCTCCTTTGTGTGCTTCTGGCATGGTGCTGATAAACACCTTGTATACTGGGCTATCTTCAACTGTGTAGGACTCCAAATGGAAGTTCTAGTTGGCAAAATTGCACATTGGACATGTCTCAATAATTTACTGGTAAGCTGTATTTTCCTTGCAGAGTTAAGGTTTGTTGTCTAGCCCGATAAAAATCCAAACAACTAGGATCATTCTCATTTCTTTTTCTTCGTAACATTGGATAACAATTTCACAAATTCCAACATACTATAAACATTGATAATTTAGATTATTTAGTGCAAGGGTAAATATGACAATGACCCGGAATATATTACAGGGATAACAAAAATAATCAAATTACTTGTAATACTTGTAAACCTAAATTATTTTTTATACAGTAAAGGGATCGAGCCTCAGTTTGAGAGAAAGCGAGAGAGAGAAAGAAAGAGGGGGGGGGGATCTACCATTATCTATGTTCTAATATTAATCTTGTAATAATATCTACATTCTAATTTTGTTCAATTGATTTGATATGTTTATCTTTCAGTTGAGGTACTTGTCTGGTGCAATGTATAGAAGATTGATAGCTCTACTCCTCACTCCTAACTACATGTGCCTTGCTCTGTCCAACTTGATCTTCCTCTGTGGGAATGATATATCATACTCATATTACAATAATCTCATATGGAATGGTGAGTTATGAAATCTTGCTCATTCTCATTCAGCACTCTTTGCTGGTGTCCAGCATTATAATCTATGTTTTATATAACGTTTTCATATTAACATACCCTCTTGGTACACTACTGCCTCTGAAGAAGAAATGTTTGTATGAGCTTAATACCATATCACTGTCAGCCCCCATGATAACATGTAGAACAATAACAAAATTACAAAATAATTGAGTGTTATCATGCATACCTGCAGAACAAATAAGTTATTGACTATGTTATTGGGGAAAGATAATTAACAAGTTGATGGTTATCCCATTTGCATTTCCATAATATTGGCATTTGATGTTTGCTGAAGACATGTAGTTTTTTAAGTTTATGGAAAATGCAGTTCATTTTTCTTTTCCATAATAATTAAAGTTCCTTTGCAGTGGTTTAGCTGTGTGTATGCCAATGCAGTTTTTATAATGTTGTAATTGTGAAGTATTTCGTGATGTTTGCCTTGATGTGAGGTAAATATGTACCTGGTAGGAATTGATCCCTTGAAATGCTGGAGTGCTGTAAGTGTAATGGCAGCTAGGCTAAAGATAGGGTAATAATTAATGCGCCTCGGAATAAAAATGTTAGATAGACGGCGCTACAGAAATGCCTATAATTATTATTTAGAATGTATACAAATTTGAAATGAATATGTCAGAATTTCTGTTGAAAAGGTCAGTGAGCCTGTAGTATTCATGTAGAGTTTTGTTAACAATGTTTAAATTCAAAGCATGTATGCATGGATATAGCTGTAATTTGTTGGGATTTTCTTCTTTTTTCCTTCCTTTATTCTGGTAGGTTGGCCCAATACTTGTCTTGCTACATTCTTTACATTCTATTGCACCATTCAACTCATCATGTCCATCAACAGCAAGTATGGCAAGGATTTCATGTGCAACAAGTTCTATTACCGCACATGGTAAGAAAACCCAACATTCAAATTTAAAGAGAAATTCAAGTTCTGGGGAGAGATAACAAATAATTTGTGAGCTTTTTCATTCTTTTTATGTTAGTGTGGAAGAACATCGGAGAAGAAAATGTTCACTGAAAAGCATGGCTCTTCAAATGCCCTCATATTCTAAATATGTCATGTAACAGCGTAAAGTTGTGGACCACATTTTTATGCCATATGTTTACGTACCGTAGTCCGATATACATCTTTCTGGGTATAGTGCATTCGACTTTTACTAAGACAGGGTAAAATATTTTATCATTTTGATGATTCCGACACCGCCATATACACTAATGTGCTACGTGATCACCCTTTTCCGATCGATTCCACAACGTTTCTTTCACAATGCAACCAAATGACCAGAAGTCATCTTTATCTTCAAAGCAAGTGTCTACTGTGAATTATTGCTCCAAGACTGCCAAGTTTTTAGAATGTAAGAAAATCCTCAATAGGGGAGAGGATTTTTTGCTGAAAAACCCAAATGATCAATAGATTATTCACATGTATTTAAAACAAGTATTTTTATTTTTACATGTCTTTCATGATGGGTTTACAAGGTGTGTTTTTTATATGAAAATATGTGTATCTTTAATTATTTGATGAGTAATTGTATTGGCCTGTACATCAAGTCCTGATAAGATGTTTTAGTATGACAATTACTTGTTTCCATTATCAGTATTTGCAGAGAAACTTTACCAATGCTTTTAATGCTCAGAATTTTTACCTAAGGTAATACAAAGGTTTTGGTATGGGGGACATGAATTTGGTTCAAATGAACATGTTGGAAGCATATGCGATCCTACAATATGTAGTGATCTTTGTCGCGGTTGAAATTGAGTCTAAAGTGATGAAATTGTAAATCATAAACTCTTTATGTTGTATAGCTCCCTCTCAAGGTCAAGATATTAATTTAGCTTTAAAACAATTTTTCTTGACAAAAATAGATTGATTGGCTGTTCCCCTTTGGAAATTATATATCACAACTGCATATTCTGTGATGTTCATGTCGCAGCTACCATTGGATGGCCATATACTATAGGGGCTATTTGTAATTTATCAAAATTTACCGGGAGCACCGCTAAATTTTGATATTGAATTTTTCTCAAAAGCAGAAGTGTTTTAGGGGCTAAATTTTCTAGTGCTTTTATAATACATTCTCAGGGGCATCCAAATTTATGAAAATTTTAAAACTTTGTATTACCTTTAACAGTTTGCCAAAAATATTTTTATGGCCATGATATTGCCTGCATCGCAACGTTTTTCATTGACGAGAAATGTAATTATTTGTGTGTTATAGCAACTCTGATTTATTGAAATTGAATTAACTCAGTGAAATGAAATGCTTCTGTTGGATTTAAGATTCAGGATACAATATTATTTTATTTCTAGTACAGAAATTTGCTTTCCCTTTGTGTTTCATGCAATGTAAACATAAACAAAACATGTTATTGTGTGATAAGTTTGAGAGGAGTATTAAAGACTGTGTTTACAGTATGAGTAATCATCCTTCTGACTCTCAGCAGGTTGTAGAACTCGACATTATGAAAAGAATTCTGAGTCACATCACGAATGCATTCAGATATAGTGAACTGAATAAACAGTAGCAACTCATGAGAAGAAAGAGAGAGAGAGAGAGAGAAACCAAATTATATGAACAGCAATAATTATTGTTACAAATTTTATATCTTACAGCAGTTCTTTACTCTGTATACATGTTATTACGTGGTATTTTATTTTACACATTGAAATAGTAGGATAATGATTGTGCATTCACAGACAAACCAGTCACCTTTAACCTTTATATGTCGGAAGGTATACAACATTGCATGAGTGCAGTTTTCATTCAAAGATTACCGGACTCAACTCAAGCAATGACTTAATGCCAAATCATATAGAGATATAGAAATTTGTCCGTTCATATCGTACTGTAGATAAATATGTTCAATATTTAAAGACTGTTTTATACGAAGATGTGGTTTTATTTCTTCCAAATTAGATTACTTAATACATGTTTTAGATTTTAGATTCTTAGTTGAAGTTGGCTGTTGTACTTTTTTTAGGCCAGAGTTTGGGGATGTAATTTTTGCATGTGTTCTTGGATCTTACAGAAACAACAATAGAAAATAATTGTACCAATTCCATTATCTTGAAAATGAATGTCTAAACAAAAATGCAATGGTTTATTTTGATGAGAAAAATGTTGAGATCAAACAATTAAAGAGAACACATGAAAATCTGTGTTAGTAGGTTTATTATTAGCAATCATCATTTCAATGGTCCCTATTGTCATCCATCTCTGTGATGGTGTGAAATGAATTCAAAGCAGTAAATAATATTTGTAATGTATTCCTATCTTTAGGAGATACATGCATTTGATATGTTTCAGTTCCAAAGTAAATCAACTACAAGTAATGTGATAATTCACTAAATTACAGGAAAAGATATCTACAGAGAAATGTATACAACCATTATAACATATCTTAGAACAGTGAGATAAAAATAAAGAGAAGATAATGCTTACAATGAACTACATTCAATTGCTTTAGATTACTAGAAATTCTAGCAGATAAAATCCTGTTTTATCATATATATTTTATTGAGTTGTAAAATCTGAAATCACCTTTTCCAAATCAATATATGTGTACGCATGTTATAATTCTATTCTTGATTACTAGAAATTCCAGCAGATAAAATCCCTGTTATATCATATATTTTATTGAGTTATCAAATCTGAAATCATCTTTTCCAAATCAATATATGTGTACATATGTTATAATTCTATTCTTGAATAAAAATACAAATTATTGCATTCGAAATTTGTTATTGATTAGTATTTTTAAAAATTACTACTACATATATTGATATCAACATAGGTCTACTAGTAGGTTTAATGATTTGAAAAATATCTGTTTATAGGCAAATAGCTTTCTTATATCTACATTTTATTTCTTTACATATTCAGCTATATGATTGGCACACTGGTACTCTTCCAATAACTATCACTCACAAATTCTTTCTGTTATTTTATCCACAAACAGACCTGTTTATACCACATTGATTCTGAAAGTAAACATAGCAAACATCAGAACCAGTTATTATTCCTCATGAATGTTGCATTGTTGCAAAATACAGTCATCATACCTGCAGCAGAATGCGGTGTTATTCTAGTTCCAAGAAAAGGCAAAGGCAGTCAGATGTGTGTACATGTCACCAGGCTGTAAGATGCAACTTGGAAAGTTGGGCTGAAGTTGGGGGAAGATAATAGTTTATATTCTTAAATGCAAACATACACACAAGCGCGCACACACACTCACACGCATAAAGAGTTTAAACAGATACACTAACAACAAAAAATGAGTAAACAGATCGTGTAAGAGACGGCGATATGGATAGAACTATGATGTGCCATGCAGCATATGAATATGAGACAGGAAATATATGTGGTGAGAAAAAATGGAGAAGAGGTGAGAAACACGGTGAAAGAGAATAAAGAATGATGGAAATATTTTGTATTATGATAAATAGGAAATATTTTAATGTGAAGGTGAGAAAGATAAAAGAAAAGTGGGAGAAATAAATTACTAAAACAGAAAAGACATTTTTCATTTACTCATTTATTTATTAACCACTTGTGGGATGGAACACCCTAGCTGATCAGTACCAATGTGGATTTTCACAGGGGTCTACACACATTAAAAACAAAATGTAACAAAACAATCACAGATAAATGAAATATACAAAACTAAAAATCAATGAACATACATGTAATATAAATATCAAGTTCAGAAAACCAAAGAGAAATACATGCACATAGGAAATACATATAATATAAACATAAATAACTGGACACACACACACACACCAATGACGTGATGAATGGAGATGGAATAAGAGAAAGAGAGAGGAGTAATGAAACTAAAAGTGATGGAAACAAAACATTTTGTTCAATAAATGGGAGATACTCATTTACGAGAGGCAAAATTAATTGATCAATTGCTCTTAAAAGGAATCAAATGATGCAGGACACAACTTAAAAATGAATAAGTGACATAAGCGTTGTCGATCCATCTTTCATTTCAATAAGAAGACTAACTTACCTGGTTCACGGCATTTGGATAGAACTGAGATTCCAGACAAAGAGCGCTGTGTTTAGGATAGATTGCGCCACACTTTCCCACGGTAGAATCATTCAGATAATTGGCAGTATAGAACTGAATACCAGGTTTGGTCGTAGAAACCTCCATCTTGCGACCACTTTCCTTGTGTGTGACGCTGTACAGGAAATATAAGAGTAATTTATGGTTAATAAAAGCATATAATAATACCTGCAGCTGTCATAGATTTTTAACTAAATTACGTTTAGAAGCTTTCGGTAACACCATGACTGTGAAAGTATTCTTTTCGTCAACAAAAAAAAGGAAAGGCAAAGGAAAACAGAAAGCCTCCAGTCGTAAATACCCAATCACCATGGAAACTTACAGAAAACATGTAGAACAGAATAATATTGTGGACTTTTGATTCAAGTTTTTTACATTTGTTAATTAGCTGTAAAACAGGGATGTCAGTTACGAGCACCACCCCCCTCCCCCCCCCCCCCCCCCATTTTCGGTTTTGTTGGTTTTCTCGAGCTATGTGGATTAAACCTACCGATATACCTGGTGAAACTAAAGACAGCTGCCTGTCATTCTTCTTTCATATTTTAATGTAGCTCATCATAATCCACCCCGTGCATAGCTCATCTATAGTGGTTTACAGTTCTTTAAAGTTCCTTTCCCTTCGTACATTATATGTTCATTTTAATGAATGTATTTGCTAATATTTTGTGTATTGAAAAAGGATAAAATATTTGGTTAGCCTAGATGTCCAATGATTTCTTTCATCGTTGTCCTTCATCTCTCAAAGAAAACAAAACATTCTTATCTGGAGTTTAAAAGAAAACTTATCGTATTTTACTTATTTTATCTCCATCTGTCGTTTTACAATGGAATGAACGATACTTTTGATTGATTATCATTTTCTATTAGAAGTTTCTTTGAAGAAACAAATGAGTTGATCAAGCTCGTATTAGGCTCGGTCTTACTCTAACTAAATCAGATGGATTAGATTGGATTGGGTTGGATTTGTTCTTATTTGTTTGTATTTACTTTATTGATTTCATTTTATTTTATTTTATTTTATTGATTTGTTTTACATAACATAACAACATGTAAATAATTAGATACATTATAACATGAACAAATATGTTAGGAAGGATCGCCATTCTCAGCTGCGTCATTACAGCATGGCTGTTCTACCCAGGGATCTTAATGATAAAACAAATTAACGAGAGAAAATAACATACATCATAAATAAATAATTGATATATTAATACAACATATTAATCATTGTTCTTTCTATTTTAACAAAAAAGTTTGAAATGTAGGTATAACTGTTTTACATACATGACGCAAGGTTTTTCTGAAGATTTCACACAGAAGTTATGGTCATATCCTAATCCTGGTACTTCGTTGATCTTATCCCCGATTCTGGTTGGACTTCTCAGATCAAACACTGTATCATCAACCGAACTTATCTCACCTGATGTAAACAGATAAATAAATGAGATTGTAATAATAGAAATTGGGTAAAACAGTGGCTAGGTAAGTTGCAATGTTCTTTTTTTAATACATTTCAGTTCATGTACTAGGCAGAGACAATAAAAGAAATATCTCAAACCGTTTTTTTTTCTCCGAGTGGAGTGTATACATGAGAATTTGTAACAAATCAAAACCTCCCAGTGATAAAAGTATACACCAAATTTCTAAATTCAACCCCTACATTACTTCTCACGTTTTGAAGTTATGATTTAACAATAACATTCAAAGGTATGAATAAAGTTCCATCCAAAATGTTAGGAAAACCAAGGTAACGATCTAAGCACTAGTTGAAATTTAAAGCATGTTCTGGCATTTTCATTTACTAATACATGTGTTAAATATGAAAAGTAATTCAAATAATTTCATTTCAACACACTAACAACATTTTTTTTGCATGATCGCTCTTCGAAACTGTAAAATAGATAGGTTAATGCATTTATCAATCAGTTTCATTTTCACAGATTCAAGTTAAATAATACTGTAATAATTATATTAAACATAGAAGGTCCACAAATGCGTATTACAAGAACAAAATTACCGAAAGGAAGATATATTTATTGACATTATAAACAAACCTGATGGGATAGTTGTCTCTATTACCATCGGTGTGTACTTATCAGCGTCTATCTCCACAATATGATCTGTAACGCTGCCCGAGTCCTTGTTTTACATGAAAAAAAAAATACAAAAAATGTCAAATAAGATTTACCAAATTGAATAGGAAACGACATCCTTAGAATACTATTGAAAGGCTCTGGATGTACCATATAAATTGATTAGGTTTTGAAAACTGATCCATACATTGCTAATTTGGCTCGCACTTTCTAAGTCTGTGGTCTGGAGCGACATTTGTTATGAAAAATGCCACTTAAGTGCAAATGAAAGGGTTGCATAATTTTGGGCAATAATTATATGGTGTCGGAATTTTCAATAAAACAACGTTTAACAAGAAAATGTAAAGAATCTTCAGATTCAAACATTGACCGACAACTATGATGGGAATTTCACAAATCTTCACCTTTCTCAGTGCGGAGAAACATCTTTACAAAAAACTTTACCCCCCCCCCAAAAAAAAAAAAGCAAACAAGCAAAAACTCACGTGACCCCCGAGGTTGAAGTACGAATGGTTGGTAAGATTGATGGGTGTGGCTTTGGTTGTCTTGGCAACGTAGGATATGAGTAGCTTGTTATCATCTGTTAGTTGGTAGTTGATGGTAACGAAAACTTCCCCTGGATAACCATTCTCACCATCAGGACTTGTATAGCTAAAAGATACACCAGTTTCCTCGATGTGCCCCTCCCAAAGCCGCTGTAATGTGCATGAAACAACCCAAACTACAATTATATTACTTAGGTAATGCAAAGTTTTGGGAAATCTTGTAAATTGGATGGAGAGTAATTCTTTACAATTTTGATATATTTGGATGCCCTTTTGGATGTATTATAAGCACTATAAAATTTAGCCCCTAAAACACTTCTGCTTTCGATAAATAGCGTTTAAGGCCATTCCATGGTAACTGCGACCATAAAAATCTCAGAATATTAAGTTCTGATACATAATTTCCAAACGAGAATAGCAAACCGGTCGATTGTAGTCAAGAATCATTGTTTTAAAGCTAAAGTAATATCAGTCTTGAGAGGGAGTTACACAACATAGAGAATTTATTATTTACAATTTCATCAATTTAGACTCGATTTTAACCGCAACAACGATCATTGAATATTGTATAATCGCAATTCTTCTTATATGTTCATTTGAACCAAATCATGACCCCATACCAAAACTTTGTATTACCTTTAATATTCTTTTCAATCGAATAATATGACTGCGACAATTACGGCAGACATTCTGTTACAATTCGTGTGGTCTTGCTGAACATATCATTTTGTTTCATAATTATTATTATTATTATTATTTTTTTTGGATTTTTTTTTGGGGGTACTATTCTTAGCTTTTAAAAAAACACCTGCAATGCGAAAAAGTATCATTACGCCATCTAATCTAAAGTTGTTTAACCATCGTAAGCGATGACTTTCTCTTAATCTCCTTTTCTATGATATTCTGGTGTCCAGCTATTGAAGGAGTATAGATGGTCATTTTATATATATATATTTTTTTAAAGCATTTATAGATCTTTGTATAATTTATATCTGATCGAGACGATCTGCGTAAAGATCTTTCGTTTCATTTTTGAACATGATAATAATAGTAATGATCGTACGAGGCTATTTTCAAAAAGTTACAAATAGTAACAATGTCTAACAATTAATGCTTATATTTCACCTGATTTTAAGACAGATTACAGTCCATACATGTAATACGATTTTACAAATATGCAATAGCATTTTGTTTTATATACCAAATGATTTGTAATTTGTATCTAATTATTTTCTTCTGTGTTTTGTTCGCTTACTGTTAAGGTTTATATTCATGATTCTTTTTGCATTTAACAAAACAACCAAATAAGGCCTCACGGAAGACCACCACAATTCGTGATATTGTGCTACCCTGTATAAATATCAGAATAAAATAAATAAATAAAAACTTGAATAAATGTTGGTTATCGTACAAAAAGTGACCTATATGCTTACATGTGAAAAGTTGATGACACCGCCATGGATATGGTTTGATCCATCGTTGATCTCTAACTGGTAATGAACACCATCCAGTGCGAACTGACCCTTAGCTATTCGGTTTACTACACGACCAATCGTCACGCCAAAGCTAGGCGCGTTAGTCTCATAACCTGAGGATTAGAAGGAGAGGAGAGAAATAACAAAGGCGATAAATGATTAAATTGAAAATGAGTGAATCAAATTAATGAATGAATTAATGAATTATTTAATTAATATGGTTATTATAAATGAATAAATAAACAACAACAAAAAGTATATGAATAGATAAATGAATAAATCAATAATTATATAGATAAATTAATCAATGAACAAAGAGAAGATCCACTAAAGGAAAAAGGGAGAAGTATTAAAATATGGCACCTGAAAATGAAAGGAAGGGAAACGAATTTTACTTGGTTTAGTTCATCATGCAATGCAACATCATGAAGGTGATCCCAAACACCTGCTCATTCTTTCTGTCTTTCCTTATTTCTCTCTATCTCTTTCTCTCTCTCTCTCTCTCTCTCTCTCTCTCTTTCTCTCTCTCTCTCTCTCTCTCTTTCTCTCTCTCTCTCTCTCTCTCTCTCTCTCTCTCTCTCTCTCTCTCTCTCTCTCTCTCTCTCTCTCTATTACCTATCACAGTCTGTTATTCTCTCACATTCCCGCACAATAATTATTGAACTATCTGTGGGGGAGTCCACAAGCGCATACGGGCACATTTTCGCGAGGGAATGGGGGGGGGGGGGGGGGGGGGGCTGACGCTTCTTGCTCAAATATTAACTTTTTTTGAACTTGTTGTAAGCAAGGTAGAAAATACACCGTTTTTATTTATTTCTTTATATTATTTTGTCGTCATAAAAGAATACAAAATATAATATCGCTTCCCGTATCTTATCTTTCTTATAGTTATAGGCCTATTATTACTTCTTATTCGGGCACCTTATTAACGAATATGAGGAAATTATGAAATATCAATGTGAGAACAGTATATGGTTAATAATCGGACAATTCTATCCAAATATGAGATGATGGATGTTAGAGGGTTACAGCAGGACCCCCCCCCCCCCCCTCCGCCTTGTACACCTAGCTACAAATTGTGCCAAATATATACGTAGTATACATTTATAAATAAACCTAGGAAATATTGTTTGCAAACAGATCACATGCCAGACGTCACAAGGCACTAGCGCAACGCGAAAACTTTCATCCAATCAACTAATCCAACTATACTAATCTTTAAGTTCGTTGACATCACAGTACGTTATGTCGGGGGCCGGTGCTCCCTGGTAACAGTGTTTTCTGTTCATGAAGCATTTACCATTGTTCTGTTCTTATTGAAGTTCCTCCCCTTTCGATCATCTCGTGGATGCCTTTACATTTTGCTTCCTTACGATGCCGAATCAATATGTGGTTGAGAAAAAATTATGAGGGGTTTCTAAAGTGGAAGGTAGGAATCGTAAATCGTAAATGTTGCCACGTATGTAACAGGTCAGAATTGAACTGTTTTGTGGTGTAAAGAATGATTCTATATCTATCTATTTCTAATCAATATCTCCTCAGGAAGTGAAGAACAAGAAACTAAGAAGTGTATATGTTTATAATCTTTGTACTTCAAAGAAGTATAACTCCCACATATTCTGAGTGTGAGTTATACTTCTTTGAAGTACAAAGATTGTAAACATATACACTTCTTAGTTTCTTGTTCTTCACTTCCTGAGGAGATATTGATTAGAAATAGATAGATATAGAATCATTCTTTTCACCACAAAACAGTTCAATTTTGACCTGTTACACATAGGTTAAAAATTTGAAGCTATTTTATTTAGTAACACTTTAATTTATGAGGCAAGCTATATAACTCTAATGCTGTCATGGTATTTCGAATTACTCAATGTTGATGACAATTTGACGGACATTATTTTGATCATCATCTCGGTGTGTTCCCTCAACATCAAAATGTGTTGGCATAATGACGGAAAATGAATGGTGACATTTGTAAAGCAGCGAAGGAATACAAACGGTTGCTTCGTAGAAAGATGTTTCTATACAGCAAATCTCTAAATGATAATCTCAGATCAACAAAGAAGACAAATCCACAGGAGTATTGGAAAATTTTGAGTGGTAACTCTGGAAAGCGAAACAAAAATATGGTCTCGCTGAATGATTTTCTACATCACTTTCGTAATCTGAATGTTGCTCAAGATGAAACTGGTGCACTACACCAAACTGAAATGGTGGCAGACTTGGTCATAAATGATGAATTGAATGCTCCTATCACTGTTGAGGAGGTTATTTTGATGATTAAGAAATTGAAAAACAATAAGGCATGCGGTATTGATCAAATTAGAAATGAATTTTTGAAACATGCAACCGGTAAGGTTCTGGAAGTGATAACAATTGTTTTTAATATAGTTCTAGAAAGTGGAATAGTGCCTCATGATTGGTGTGTTGGTTTGATTGTTCCAATATTTAAAAACAAAGGGTTGGAGAAAGATCCAGACAACTATCGTGGTATTACCCCTTTAAGCTGTATAGGAAAGTTGTTCACTTCAATATTAAATCATAGAATTACTTTATATTTTGAAAGTGAATCTGTACAGAACAGGCAGGTTTTCGTGAAGGTTATTCCACAATGGATCATGCATTTGTGTTGAAATCTATACTGGATATTTATTTGTCAAAGGGAAGAAGGATTTATTGCGCCTTTGTGGATTTTAGAAAAGCCTTTGATATGATAGATCGAGCATCCCTTTGGTATAAATTATTATTGTCAGGAGTAAACGGCAAGGTATTTAGAGCCATTAAGAATATGTATGCCTCTGCTAAGTCGTGTGTTACGACATGTGGTCAAACCTCTGAAACATTTGCTTGTAATATTGGGGTAAGGCAGGGTGATAATTTATCCCCCTTACTTTTCGCAATTTATCTTAATGATTTTGTTGGATATATCCGAACCAAATTTAAAGGTTTACAGTATTTATATGATGAAGTGTGTTCTGATGTTCTTGATAAAATTACTGATGAAGACTTATTTATTAATTTACATTCATTGCTATATGCAGATGATACAATTATCTTGGCAGAAAATCCAGAGGAACTCCAAACGGCTTTGGATGCTCTGTCTAACTACTGTGAGAAATGGAAATTGCGTGTGAATACTGAAAAAACAAAGATAATGATATTCTCTAGAGGAAAGGTACGCAAGTACCCAGTTTTTAAGTATGGGAACGGTATTATCAATGTGGTACATGATTTTGTGTATCTTGGGGTTAAATTTAATTACAATGGTAATTCTAAAAAGGCAATATCAAAACAGGTGATTCAGGCAAGAAAAGCCTCATTTGCAATGACCTTAAAGGTGCAAAGGTTAAGATTATCAGTGTGAGTTATTTGATCAGTTAATCCTGCCAATACTGTTATATGGCTGTGAGGTGTGGGGTTTTGAGGATTTAAGCCAGATTGAAATTTTTCATCGCAAATTCTTAAGGGCCATACTGAATGTCAATAAATATACACCTGACTGTATGATTTATGGTGAGACAGGCCGTAATAAAATTGATGTTCAGGTTAAATGTAGAATGGTAGGTTTTTGGCTAAAAGTAGTCAAAGGAAGTCATTGTAAATATACATTTAGATTCTATAATCTTTTAAAGTTACTTATGGAAAGAGGTTCCCAGTCTCAATTATCTAAATGGTTGTCATGTGTAGAGAATACATTCAATAATGCTGGGCTAGGAAATGTGTGGCAAATGCAAGGAGATGGATTCAGTAATACATGGATTCTTCATGCTCTTAAGCTCAGGTTGACTGACATGTCAAAGCAAGAAATTATGTCAAATGTTTGGTCAAATCGCATTTGTGTTAACTACCGAATTATCAAGAACGAAATTTTATTTGAAAAGTATCTGGTAAAGTTGAATAGAAGAGGTGCAATCACTTTGTGTCGATCATGATGCAGGTCACACCGCTTACCAATTAATAATGGAAGGTTTGAAAATAATCCTGAAGAAAGTAAAATTGAATGTCCTTGTTGTAATTTAAAGGTTTTTGGAGATGAATTTCACTATATTTTTGTCTGCCCTTTTTTCAAGAAAGAAAGGCAGTTATACCTAGATAGACAGTTTGTTGTGAGTAACCCTAGCACATTTCACATGGACAAATTATTTAATAGATCTAGCATTAAACAATTAAGAAAACTCGTAAAATTCATAAGAGTAATAATACAATTCTTTTCATTGGTTCCTAAGGCTGAAAGGCATGGTCCTATTTTTGTTAATAAAAGTGTAGTAACTCGTTGTGGTAGACAAACCAAACCACGTGATATTTTAGACTTATAACTTTAAACTGTATAGTGTATACTTAGTCTTTAGCTCATGTTTATTGTGTTTTAGAAATATAAAAATGTATGTATCATGTCTATGTATTTTATTATCATATTTTACTTTGTTTTTTATATATCTTTCTGTATTGTGTTGTAAATATGTTGTGCTCTCATACCCCGGAAGTGGGTCGATAGAGTCAATAAAATCTTATCTTATCTTCAACGAATGAAAATATTCGCACTATTGAACGAATGAAAGAAACATTCATTATTTGTTTTATACAACATCGAAGAAGATCTAATAGAACGTTAATCAACAAATTATGCTTTACTCCTTAAATTAAAGTTGGGAGTCAAGCCTTCTCGATTACATTCAGATTGCCTTCGCGTCAGATAAACGCAGGGATACGCGCACGGCAGAGAGGTACGCAGTCTGCATATAACCAAAAATGCACGGCGCATATTATAACCAAAAATGCACGACCGTGCAATATAACTCTTATTGAATATCATGTGACGAACAATCCTCCAATCAAATGACAAGGATCCACGTAGGTGTTGTGTTGTATAAAACCATTTATTAAATGCTTATACAAACAGAAACCACTGATATTGGCTCAACCGAGGAGGGGGTGTGCAGAGCTTATTCGCCCAATGATATCCATAATAGCCAGCTCCTGCATGAACGAAAATGTCTACTTGACTTGAGAGCTAGTCCATATTAAATTTAAGAAAGATCCCTCGTAGTTCCAAATCGCCGTGACCCCTCCCCCGGCCCCTCAAAAACAAAACAACAAAACCGCCATTGAC